TGGTGTCACCGTACCCAAACACCAGAGTCACATCACGACTTTTGTTTGACCTTTTACCCTTGACCTTGTTATGTAACGAACGGTAGTTCCGTTTAGTGAGATTGATTTACTGGGGGATCTAAGGCTGGACACAAAGGTACGGTGTAGGCGGCATTGCACGGTAGATACAATGGCAGGGGAACGCGCAACCAAGCATATAGACATCAACTACGATTAGTAACGTACCACATGGGTTTAATTGCTTCGACGATGCATAAGAGTACAGAGAAACAGACACAAGGTATGAGTATTTGCGGCCTCTCAGAGCTATGAACCAGGTGCAGTTCGGTAAAGGCAGTTCAGTGATTTCCCGAGGAGTCGGCTCAAGCTTCATCGCTTTTAGCCGTCCGTAATTGAAGTTCACCATAAAACCGCCGGCCTTCGTGAGCACATTTCTCACCGACGCGAGTTTCTCACGGCGCGACCTTCGCGAGCAGTGTGGTCCTCCACCGTCGCTCGACCTCCTTTGTTCGGCACCTAGGTGACACAATCGCGATTCATTTACCCGCGACTGGGCATAGTCGGCTGTAGCCTGTGTTGTATGGCAACCATAAAAACTCCTTCGCTACCTTCATATTTCCCTTCTGCTCTATAATCGGCTCTAAATTGACCTAGCATACCAAACTTGGTATACTTACGCATCTTGAGGGAAATGTGTGTCGCGTACCAAACGCAGCGTCACTGTGGCTTTTATTTGACGCTTGACCTGATCATATTTCTCTTCCACTCGTTAACTTGCGCCCTTTAATTGACTTGACGTGACCAAACTTGGATATACTTACATCGTTGGAGAAAGGTGTGTCGGCGTACCGAAACCAGGTTACTGCAACCTTTATCTTGACCTTGACCTTGACCTTTATCATATTTTACCTCTGCTCATATAACTGCGCTCTATTGACCTAGCGCGTCAACCAAACTTCGGTATACGCTTACACATCTTCCGGGTGGAGAACATGGGGATAATGTAGTTGGCAACAAACTGTTATTCTGTTTTCATTATAACGTATGGATTGGATAGCTGAAATTTACTCTGAAAAATAACGTTAGTTGCACCGGGCGAGGAATAAACTATGACCTTCCATATTATCACAAACTTGTAGATGGTATTCATAAAGCATTTTTGAATCAAAGTTATTTGGGACTTCTCAACATGCACACACATATTCGCCATGAAAAAGAAACTGTTCTCTACAAAATATAACGCAGAAACTTTTTACTACTAATTGTAAAAACAAAAACAAAGATGTTCTACGCGTCTTACCAAAAGCGAACTGCAACGAATGGTTACTGAAGCAGTAATTGACAACTGTCGCCAGCACGTCACCGGGCTGCGCGGACCAGGTGCTCTGGCGTCTCGTTCGTTGACTTTTAAATACATAGTCACTTTAGGTGATTGTTCGAAAATATATTAGAAACTAAGGTAACACCAGAAAAAGTCTTATTCCCCAAGCAGATATGCCGGAAACCCTACCCTGGGTGAACTCAATCTATATTGGTTAAGGGTTAAGGGTTAGCGGTGTAGGCGTAGGTGGCGACTTGCCTAGACTCGTTCAGTGAAGAGGCGATGGATACGGCTACGTGAGGTCAGGTAGTACCAAGGGTACGTCTGCGGTTGTATAACCAAACCGATACCCACGACTACGCTTCACGCAGGGTACCCTGGGCAGACATTAGAGACTGTCAGCTAAGCTACGGAGCGTAAATTCTTCAAATTCGTAGTGTAGCTGACATAGAAACAATTTAGTTTCCAGCAACTCTATGTAAATGGAATTTATAAACGTTATATCATTAATGACTAATTTAATCCACCAAGTCCATACATTCTGTATTTGACGATATTGCTTTTTTGTTGATACAGTGAGTCATAATCTTAACTGATAAATACATACGCAGTGCATTCACTCCTTTGCTTGCGCTTTACTTTTTTTTGGCGTTGGCCAACCGACTTGTTGGCAAACTTGCACGCAGCAGATCTCAGAGAAATTGTTTCCTCATTGTGACAACTTTGCGCTTGTATCGGCAGTATGCCACGAAATTTCTGTATCCTTTCTCCTGAGTACCTGCCAGCTAGGACACCGTACTCGGACCTTTAAAATAGAAAATTGTTCAATAATCATGTATTAAAGACATATTCCTATGGTAAAAATGAAAGCAAATACACTGCAGATAGGAGGACTGTACACAAATCTTACAGCGTGTTAGTTAATTTTACACTGAACTTTTATGTTTGTTCTCCAGAAGTGGAATATGGTCTCTGGTGTTTTACATACCATCTTAATCAGGAGAATAATTACCTGAGTCGGAACGAACGTCTCTTTTCTCCATGTTGCTGCATTATTATGGCAGGAAGGCGTCTAGTCTGCAATTTATGTCTATCTTGTAAAGGAATTTGTACTGTGACTGCATCCCCAACTGAAAAAGATTCAGTTTTCGGTTTTTTTTTTTTTTTATCCTTTCTTTTTACTGCGTATTTTAGGTAGGCAGTATTCGCTGCCACTCTTGTTTGTGTTAGACGTGGAATTGATGACAGCTCATCAGCACTCCAAACTCGCGTGAATGGAGAGCTATCGCCTAGGATGTTGCTGCCCAAGAGCTGGTCTTCGAGCTCATCGGGTTCTCCTGCCAAGTACATAAGTAATTGTATTACAGTTGAATAAGTACTACATAAACGTTTACTATTGCTTAAGCATAACTGAACATTTCTTGAGCTCCATGCATTCAGGGGGCGAACATGTTGTTCAATTGGTTACTCGAATCCCGTTCTTTAGCTTGCCAGACTGCTAATCTTCTTACAAGGTTTGTTATCGTCTTGTACTATATTTCAGACAGTGTTGGCTTATTACCTCGATCCATGTTGTCACTGCCCAATGGCTGCTCATCGGGTTCTCCTGCCAAGTACATAAGTAATTGTATTACAGTTGAATAAGTACTACATAAACGTTTACTATTGCTTAAACATAACTGAAAGTTTGTTCTTATATACTTCTCTTCTTCGGTCTCGCTCTTATACTCTTCTAGAAACTTGAGCCTCCAAGGGCCTGTGATATAACGTATGACTTGGACAGTGAAATTTACTTGAAAATACGTTAGTTGCACCGGGAGAATAACTATGACTTATATCATTAAATTATGATTAAAGATCAATGCTGCCATAAGTGAGGGAGAACTGGCTTGCTTGGATGCAGAACCACACCAGCAAAATACTGTCATATGCGCTCAGCACTTCGGGTCAACACCTTCTTTCGGCAACGCTTCTCTAGTATCCCGTCTCATCTGGACGAGGGTAGTCGCGAACAAGCACCTACGTATAACATGCTATACAGATATGTTATATTTAGCTCCTTGGTTGCGAACAGATGGCAGCACTAGGCCGCCATGCTGTATCGAATGGAAGCGTTCTGCTGCCTAGAAATGTCTATCGGTCAACCTCCACCAGGTGTACGGCATTATGCCGTCTGTAAGTAATTGTAGCTGTAGAATTATGTGCATAGATTAGGATACAGGTCTTTCTAAGACCTGATTACATGCCCTCTTTTGTAAAAGTCGTTGATGAAGATGAGCAGATATGCTAGAAATGTACATGATTCTGCATCATGTGTATGTAAACCTACATTGTGAATGTACGTTTTCTTGAGCTAAGTTTTATTAAGAGTATGGATAGATTCTGATATGATGTGTTTCAAGATTTAATAACAAAGTGCGATAGTTATGACTACATTTTGTATCTATGCTAAGCGATGCTTTGCAATGCCACGGATATAGTTAAGCCATATAGTTAAGCCATATGGCATTCTTATTTCAATGATATCCACGTTATTTCATTGACATTCGCATTGTTTCGATAATATTCACATTATTTCTAGGTTACTGTGTGACCCAGGACACTTTGATGCTCACGAAGTTGGCACTGTGATTACTAGTACTACGGTGGCATGAACTAGGCCCATCATGTACTTGCCTCCATCATGTAATGAGGGTATGTGAGCCAATGTTCTTTTGTGTATCTATTGGTTATAATGTTTTGTATTTTGTATAGTGTACTGTGTATAAACTATATTGTGTTATTTCTGTAATCAGTCTATACATGGGCAAGTCGGAATGCAAATGGGGTCAGTACCCCGTCAGCAGTAAGCTATTAGAACTGTTAATCGATTGTATGTACATGTTGCATGGTTTTAAGCGCTAGGCTGTCCATGCGCTCATGCATGTGTATTTGCTATGTTCCAGGGTTTTTGTGTGTTCTCAAATAAACCATCTACCCCACATTTGATCGCTGGAGTTCTTTTTCCGAACCTCACAATAACATTTCGTTTGTAGAACGTAGCTAGATCTTCTGAACTGTTTCTAGATCATGTGAAATGTTTTTAGACAACATACTGACTTAAAGGCTACATGTACACACTCACCTTGGGGTGCCATCCGGTGATGGTAGCTGTGCCGGTAATAGCACTAGCTTGAGCTCTTCCCATTCCGGCTCGCCGTAGTGCTGGACCTGCACACCAGCATAAACACTGATGTTTTTGTGCATATAACTGCTGATGCACATTAGTTGTATGGGTCCTGCAAAGTATAAGATACTATCAGAGTTCGATAATGAGTCAGTAGTTGATTTTTGACAATGCATGATTACAGCAATACAACAGGTCTGTAAAGAAATTTCAATTCAACAAAGGTAAATGATTAAGGTACAGAACAAGCCCAAGAACGTGTAAACTTGCATCGTTGTATAATTCGGTAAAAACGCATGAAAATCCTAATTTAACTCCTGTGTTATTATCTACTCATATCATTTATGTCAACATGGTCAACAATTAATTCACTAAGCACTACATAGCTGTT